AAACTTCTGGCCCCATAAACCTTTTTTTTTTTTTTTTTTTAGCCGTCTTGAAGGAATCCGGGCTATGACAACAAAGACTCCGTCTTAGCTGTGCTGCATTTAAATCAGGCCGTTGCAGAAATGCCCAGGGCTGGAGAGGAGCCTCCACTTTCTGGGTACAGATGCTCCATTGTGCCCGAAGCATCCTTGGCTAGGTGTCCGGATGGGCTAGGGTGTCCTTGTGCTATAAAATAAGGAAGATCAGGGCTCCCATAGCAAACAATCTCCTGCTGCTTTCAACACTCTGCCTGGATGGAGACAGAGGGAAAGCAAGACAATAGCCTGCAGAAGCAAGTTGGTTGACTGTGTGAACAGGGGAAGGAGTTATAAGGGGGTCTCTCCTTCCCTGGAGGCGTTGCTTGTTGCTCCATCTCAAAACCTTTTTGTTTATTAAGTGGAACGGTTTGTATTTTCCTTTTAAGTGCATTTAAAAAGAATTTCTTGGAAGGCAGGGTTGATAGGAAAGGCTGCAGTGGTCTGTTGCTGTGGCTGCTCTGAACAATTGTCATTTTGCGGATGGGTGTGTGGTTGTGTACAGCTGCAGGTAAGGCAGACACCTGGGCACGTGCATCTTCCTTATCCTGGCACTCTGGAATATGTAGGGCCGTGGAAAGGGTCCTCCTTCACGCGTTTTAATTTTAGTTGCCTGCTAAGACCCTGCTCTTTCGTGTTCCAGAGCTGGTTCAGAAAGTGTAATGGACAGTGTCATGTGAGATGACAGGCTGGTCCTATTTGTGTGCCTGGTTGGCATTGGAATCATGGGAGTTTTTCATCTGGAAAAAGTTAGATGCACGGACAGGTTTGCAGAAAGGTACGAAGCTTCTTCTTTAAACCTCTGCTCACTTGGCATCAATTAGAATTTATCCGCCCCCCCCCTTTTTTTTTTTTTTTCTCTTCTGACTGTCATTTTATCCTATTGTGCTGCAGAGCATGTGAACTGTTCAGTGGCATCCTTCCAGAGCTGTGACTTCACTGTCCAGATGTCTCGTTCCACATGGCAGTGACCCTTTTCCTGGTGACGTCAAGATTGATTGATATGTTTATTTATTTATTTTGCCTTTGGTGTGTGTGGGCTTCAGGCCAAGTTTCTTAGTATGCAGGCAACATCATTCTGCTCTGTCTGCTCCATCCATACAAACAAAACAGCTCTTAGAGCACTGTGTTGGACCTTTATCAAAAGCCAGTTATTTAAGCATGGAATTATGAACTATTTCCCAAATGGCCAGACACAGTCTGCCTCTTACAGGGAGAACAAGAGATTAGACTAGAGAAATAAGCCTGTGTGTTTCAGGAGGGCTGAAATATAGGTGGCAGGGGAATATGTAAACTATGAACACCTCAAACACTGAAACAATAGTGACATTAGCAAGCCTATAGCAAAAAAACCACAACCCAAACCAGTAGAATTCTTAAGACTTTCTCAAAGGGTACAAAATTCAACCAGGTTTTAGCCTCCTTATATACTTTTCTTCATCCCTTTAGTTCTTCTGTTACTTGTCCATAATACAAGAGAATTCTTAGCTGCCTGTGAGGGGCAGGACTTCTTCCATAGTGTGTATGCTTACTAACATGTCCCTAAAATCTTACAACTATAAAAAAGGTAGAATGCCATACAAGCTAAACTAGATACAAAAATAAAAGATAGATAAAAATGTGGTGAGAGAAGGTACAATATAATCCACCTTCTCGACATAGACTGAGACAGCAATAGATAAAGTCATTTGTCATAGGAAACATCTGTGGAAGAGGCAAAAATTTAATCCAGATTTCCCATACCAGTCCCTTGGCTAGGAATCACCCTCTCTTTCCTGCTGACACCCACTGCTGCACAGAGCCCCTTTGCGCTTCCCAGCGAAGGGTTGTGCCGTGTGTTACAATTGGCTTATTCTCCTTGACGGTGAGCCTTCGAGATCATCAAATTGTTTCCTGTTATAAAGAGGAAGAAAAAAAACCAATTGCACAGGCATAAACAAACACTGTGTTAAGCATCCCATCATAAGGCTACCAAACTAGTCTACTTTAGCAATCAAATCCAATTACATGTCAAAACACTCCAAATCAATACTCAATATACACTCAATTCATCATTGCTTTCTACTTTATAGGGACCAGTTGCTACAGAGAAAACTTTTTTTTTTTTTAAAAAAGATTTGTTACTTAAATGTGTATAGATCTTTAGATTGGTAGATAAGCCTTATTTCTGTAAGGCATCTTGTAGAGACGTGTATATTCAATTCCAGTAAACAAGTATAATTACCTTGAAAGACCAGTTCTAGCACATTTGACTGCAACCCCAATAGATATTGCAGCTTTCATCTCTCTGACGTGCAGAGCCTCTGTTTAACTAGCAGAAGTCTGGGAAATCTAGGAACACGTTTCTGACTTGTTCCACTCGGTCACAGAAGGCAGTGGTCTGGTGTAATGCAAAGAAGAACCCATTCCTGCCCTTCCCCTTGCAGATTTGTTAGGCAACAGTATGAGATGGGTACATTTGGCTCATTCTTGCAAAATGGGAAGTCCTGGGGCACACTGCCAGCTCCCACGGCTTACCCCCTACCTTTATTCCCTCCTCGCTCCGGGAAGATTCGCTTGGTGCTAAGGGATGGGTAGGGGTATCGTTACTCATTCGGGGTGTAAATTCACTCTAGGAACAGCCATGAGGACAAGGGAAGAGTAGAAACAAATTGCAGAGGTTGGACCTGGCTGTAGCGCTCTGCGGGTCACAGAAAACCCCAGATGCCTCTGTGGTAATTCCCAGGAGGGAGGGAAATAAGTGGTTATTTCCTTAACTAGCATTGCTATTGTAGTTGTTGTTGCTATTAACTAACTTTATTAATCAGACTTGTCGTGAGGTCAGGGTTACCCGCTGCAGCGTGGGCTGCGTGTCAGTGGGGTGAGCCAGGAGGTGCTGTGCTCTGACTGTAGCACAGTGACTCAGATGCCAGAATCTTCTCAGGAGGAGCCCTTACAGCCACCGTGACCTAAGGGGACAGACAGCTAACAGCATCCTGCCAGATACATCCCAGCCCCTGGCCACCGAGGGACCTCTGTGCTGCTTAGCAGGAAAGGCAGACCTGCAGTTGAGGCGGAGGCTACACAAGACCGCGTAGGTGCCCAGATCTGAGGGGTGCCAGTCTTTCTCCACCTCCCCTATTCCTTGCAGCCTCTTGGCTGGCTGTGAGGCAGCAGTGAGAACCTCGCAGGACTCCCTGGAGCAGCACTGTCATCAAGCAGTGACCCAGGGACACGGGCAGAGACGTTTGTTGTAGCAGTGTGCAGCACTGTCTGCACGTTAGCGTGGCTCTCACTAGGCAGAGAAAATTGCTGGCGTGTGATTCTAGCTCCATGAAAGATGCAAGGAAAAAAAAATAATTGTCATTTGCCAGAGGAAGAGGAAAAACAAGTACATTTAGAAAATGTTTTTTAACTCTTACTTGGGTGTTTCAAGCAGAATGGGAAGTATTAAAATTCTTAGTCAAACTGATCTGGCTAAGACTGATAACAGATTGAATTAGACAAGTTTAAAGCTAGCATAACCAGTTTTAATGCATACATGCTGTGTGAATGTGTGTTAGTGAAGGTCTCTGCAGAAAAAAACTTCAGTGGCTTCTGTGTTGATTGATACTGCTCGCCATTGATGTGCTGTTTGAGATAAGCCAAACTTATTAGCTTAAGTTACCTAAAAGCAAATCTAAAATAGCCAGAATGGCCCAAAGAAAGAATTTTCACCTGTTTAACTAAATCAGTTTAACAAAAAGAGCACGTGCATTGATTTGAAATTGTTTTTTGTTACACAAGTCTCCTTATGTAAGCAAGATCCCCGATACTGATTGCAGTTGCATGAAGATACGCCTACACAGAGAGCTTCTTTCTGAATCAAGAGACTACCGAGTACAGTTGCCATCACCTGCTGGTTTAGCTGCACGAGAGAGAAGATATTATCACAAAAGCAGCGTGATATTATCTGTATCAATCATAATACCCATCTTTATCTGTCTATTCTATTTCTTCTCTCTTTATCATTGCAGTTCTAAAGTCAAAGGGTCTGAAGTATGTAGAGGAA